TTTATGGGTTCTGATAAAGAAGGTTTGTTGATAATTCCTATTATTCAATATATTAACTATATAATATCATTCTACTATTACTAATATTACTACTACTATTGGTGTTGGTGTTGTACTATTCCGAATGGTATCATTGAATTTTAAAATGATGATCATTATGACGCTATGATCATGGTTTTTAATAATACTTGTTGTTGTTATTATGAATAATAGGATGTCCATGTTTATGTTTAGCAATTTCAAACTTTGTACCAGGAACTTTACAGCCATATGAATTGAGTATGTATTATATTATACTATTATCATTTGAATATATTATAAAATAGTTGAAGAACTTGTTGGATTTGTATTAGAAGTTGCATTCCATGAATTAAGATTACAAACTGGTGGAAAGTTAGAAAAATTTGTTGTTGTTATTGATTATAAAGGATGGTCATTATCATGTGTAGATACTAAATTGGATAAATCAATTCTTGGAACTTGTCAAAATTATTTCCCTGAAAGATTGAAGGTAAATTTATTTACAAAATTTAAATATTAATAATAATTATAGTTGGCAACATTAATGCGTGCACCATGGTTATTCTCAACTGCTTGGGCAGTAGCTAAATTGTTCCTTGATGAAAAGACAACTGAAAAGATTTCATTTGTTTATGAAAGTGATATGTTAAGTGAATTGAGAAAGAACTTTGATGATAGCACTATTTTGAAAAAGTTTGGTGGACAAGCTGAAAAGGCTAAAACACTCAAAGAATATTTAGAAGAAAGATTATCAAATGATGAAACTTTATTAGACTATTATAATAAGAGACCTGTAAGAAGCGTTGAATAAATCCTGAATTGGATTTTCTTTTATTTTTATTAAAACCATAATTCAAGCCTTTGAAATATTTTTACTTGAATTTTCTACTTGGATGTTCATTTTTATGCTCGACAATTGTCTCCTTCTCATTAATAAAAGAGTGTTGCTTTGCCAATGATGAAAACCTATTTAATATTCATCACCTTTCGGCTGATGTTCAATTGATGTATAAACTAGCTTCTGACGGCATCTTTTTGTTGTTGAAAAGTAATTGAATAGGTTTGGATTGCTGTTTAGTGCCTTACTTGTTCAAAACTGCAGAATGACATGATAATATTATCATCTAGCCTAAAATTAAAAAAAAATGTCCTCCACATCTCCTTCGTCCTTGTCCACTAGTAATAATAATATTATGACTGTGATGACGACAATGGACAATACGGAGCAACAACAACAATTAGATGACGACACTGAAGAATATATTCTCATCAAGGAAGTCATTCAATCTGTTAATAATAATAATAACACAACAATAGAAGAAAGAATAATTGTAAAATTAAATTTAAATTTAAATACAACAATTATTAATGATCCGATCATATTTAAAAATTCAAGAGAAAATTCATCTAAAATTATAAAAATTGAAAATCATACATCAAATGATTTAGTAATTAGATTATCAAGTCAACAAACTTTAATTTCATTTCAAACATTTGAAAATGATGAATTTTCTAATCAATTATTTAATACATTATATAATTTACAACAATTAACAATTAAAAAATATAAAAATAATATATTTAAAATTAATTTAAAATCAACTAAAAATGAAAATAATTTATTACATTCTTTAAATGGAAATATTATATTAGATTTAATAACATTACAAAATTTTGATAAAATTAAATTACCATTTATAATACAATTAAATGAATCTAAAATTAAAATTGATGAAAATGAAATTGAAATTGGAAGTTCAATAATTAATCGTAAATATGTTAAAGAATTTACAATTTATAATACTTCAGAAGAAAATGTTTATTTTAATTTAATTTCAAATTCAAATGTAAATATTAAAAATTCAATTTCAAATATAAATAGAAATAGATCAAGTTCAAATCCAATTAAAGAAATTTTACAAGAAAATGAAAATTTTATTGCAGATTTAACATTTACAGAATATGAAACAGGTAAAATATTAAAAATGGATAATTTAATTATGGCACATTCTTCAATGAGAGTTAACGTTATTTTTATACCTAAAATTATTGGTGAAATTAATTTAAATGTTAATTTACAATTTAATAATGAAATTTTATCAAATTTAATTATTAAATCAATTGTTTTTTCAACTGAATTTGAAAATAATCAATTAATTGGTTTAAATACAATTAGAAATATTTTAATTTTAGATGAATTTGGTAAACAAACAATTTCAAAATTAGATTTTGGTGAATTTTTTAAAGGTCAAACTTCTTTTAAATTAATTACTTTAAGAAATCAAAGTAGTACTGATACTTTTGATGTTTTTTTTGGATTGACTAGTAATTCTAATAATTCTAATAATAATAATAGTAATAATAATAATAGTAGTAATAGTAGTAATAACAATAACAATTGGTAGTGGTAGTAGTAATACAAGTACAGTGATTGGAAATAATGAACAACATGGTTTTCATCATCATCACCATCATCAACATTCTCATAATAATCATGAAAATGTTGATTTTATTCATTTTGAATTGTATGATCCAAATTTACATGATTTTTTACTTTCAATGGATCATTCAAATCCACATTTCAATTCAACTTGTCTACCAAATACTCAACAAATTTATAGAGAAAGAATTCAAGAAATTTCACTTAAACCTAAAGCTGAAAGAAAGATAATGGTTTGTGCTCATGTTAAATTGGATGAAAATTCACTCACTACAGATACTTCAGTCACCAAATCAAAGAATACCATTCTAATCACATGTAAGAAGAGTGGTGGTACAAGTAGTAGTAATAGTAGTAGTAGCAGTGGTAATACTACTAATAGTGCTTCAAATACTTCTGCTAATACAACAAGTGCTATTGATACATCATCAGCATCATCAAATACATCATCCATAATGATGAATGATCAATTATTATCAACAAATACTACCTCCAATAATAATAATAATAGTTCTAATACAATGAATGTAGTTGCAAGTATTAAAGCTATTGCACATACATGTACATCTATTATTGAAGTATCACCTTCTAATATTAAATTTGGAGATTCAACCATTGGAGATATTAAATTTGCATCAGTAACAATTTATAATAGATCTGATTTGGCAACAAGAATTTCAGTTCAATTTACATCTAAAGTAATAACATGTAAAACAAAATCAGCAATTATTTCACCTCATAAATTTATTAGAATTACATTTAGATTATCACCTAGAAGAGTTAATCCAAATTATAGAAAACAAATTACAATTGTAAATGAAAGTAACAAATTGAATGAACAAATTATTGAAGTTGAATCTAATAATATTGATAGAAATATGTTAAATTTTCATTGTAAATATTATGATGTACATACTACTTCACAACATAATTTTGCAAAATCAATTAATTTTGGTGTTGTTGCTTTGAATGGCATTTCACTTTCTAAATTTCAAATTTCAAACATTTCAGATGAACCAATTACATTGAAATTTAAATCTTCATCTCCAAATGAAATTTCAACTTTTAAAGTTAAAAGAACGACAACAATAACAAATCAGGATTATTCATCTGGTGGTGGTGGTGGTGGTTCACAATCTGATCATTACAATTTAATTTCATCCAATGTTCATCAGCATCATCATTTTGATGAAGATGATACAATAAGTCCACACAGTAGTACAACAACAACAAATAATCGACAATTTACAGATGATAGTAGTATGAATGAAAGTGAACAACAATTTAAATCAACACCACCACCTCTTCATAAAAGAAGAAAAAAGAAGGTTAAACAAATTGTAACTTCAAATTTACAAAGAGTTTCAAGTCAATCTAATTTAACACCACTTTCTTCATTGAGTACCATAACAACAACATCAAATAATAGTGCAAGTACTAATAATACAGGTGTTTCATCAGTACTCACACCAAAATCACCCTATCTTAAAAAGTTGAAGGATGAATCATCAAATACCTTGAAGAGATCAACATCAATGGATGATAAATTTATTTCACAATTAAATGATCCAACAAATTTAGAATATTTACAATCAATAATGACTCAACCCAACGTTTCAAAGTTAAATATTCATCATTTTGAAGGTATTGATGAATTAAAAACACCACTGAGTATTTATGATAGTGATGAAACCAGTGATGGAAGTGATGATAATTTAATGATTGATGATAGTGAATATTCATCAGTAACAGATGAATTATTTACTGAACAAGTTAATCCACAAGAATATTGTGATCAATTAGTTTCAACTTATGAAAAAATTCAAGAATCTTTATTTGATACTACACAAAATGTTGATGAAGAAATGATTATTAGAGATGAATTGGAATTTAAAAAGAAACTTTCAAATTCAATTGATGATTTGAAATTTCTCATTCCATGTGACACAATTTCAATTGGACCAACAAGTTCAACTGAAATTTACATTACCTATCGACCAAAAAGTACAAATAGCAAATTTACTTCAATTAATTTAAATAATTCTTCACCTCTATCTTTATACAGTGATTTTTCATTCAATAATATTTCAACAAACACTACTACATCTATTTCATCTACAACTACTACTGGTAGTAGTAATATCAATACTAATAATACCAATAATAATAATACAAATTCAATGAATGCAATTAAAAAGAATTTTGAAAAATTATTTATTGAATTAATAGATTATGATACAAATAATGAACAAACAGATTTTACATTACCACCTAGAGAATTAACAATTCAATCTAAAATTTGTCAATCCATGATGGAAATTGCACAAAAGAATATAAATTTTGGATCCATTACCAATGTAGAAGATCGTAAAAAGACAATAACCATTTCAAATGGATCTGAAGTACCATTATTATTTCGTATAAAAAGATCAGGTTCAATTGCATCTAATGATATTAAAATATTAGACATGTTAGATGATTCATTAAATTTATCATGGTGTGGTTTAGTAAGACCATATGGTTCACGTGATATTCAACTCTATTTTAAACCATCATTACCAGGTGTATTTAATGAAACTTTAACATTTGAAAATGTACTTGATGAATCTGATAGTATTAATATTATTGTAAAGGCAGATATTAGAAATTATGAAAAATTTACATTGAAATCTAATGATATTAATTTTGGAAATATTTTATTGAATCAATTTTCACTTTCTAAAAAAATTGTTGTTACAAATATGAGTAAGAATAGAAGAATATTTGAAACACAAATTGATTATTGTAGTTTTAGTTTTTGTAAATTTGAATTTGAATATGAATTGGAACAAGTTAGTCAAAGTACTGAAATTGAAAAATTAGAAGCAGAATTAGAAAAATTAGAACACAAATATAGAATTTGTGTTAGAAAGAACAAGTCATCAAAAATTAAAAAATTAACTGAAAGAATTAATGAAATTAAAAAGGAATTAAATTTTGATGATTATACTCCAACTATTGCAACAACAATAACAGGTAATTCTACTACTAATAATATTGAAGATTCATTATTTGTTTCTGAATCAGATGATGAAGGTAAAAAACAAAGAAAATTCAAAAAGATTGAAGAGAATGGAATTAGATTTTCAATTCCACCTAGAATGTCTCAAGTTATTAATTTAAAGATTAAACCACTATTAATAGAAACACCAAATATTGCATTTGAGAATGGTATATGTAGAATGTTAGTTTATGAAAATAGAAATACAGATGAACAAAAGATGGTCACTCTGAGTTCTATTGTACATTTCGATATCAAATCATTCCAGAATTTTACTCAAAACAGTGGTAGTAGTAGTTCAACAGGTTCAAATGTTAGTACTCCATTAACACCTTTATATAGTAGTAGCTACTACTACCATTGGTACTACTAATAATACTACCCTTACAAATAATTCTAATAACAATACTGCAACAATAACAACTGGTACTACATTTAATACTAATAATACTAATAATAATAATATATCATCATTACACAAATCAACCATATCAAAATTATTAATACCAAACAATAACAAATCAGTAACAAAATTAATTAATAGTAATCAATCATCATCATTAACAACAACAACAATGAAATCAATTCAAATTGTTCCAAATGAAATTGATTTAGGTGTTAATTCTATTGGTGAAAAGATTAAATGTAAATTAACAATTAATAATGAATCTAAAAGTGAAGAAGCAGGATTTGTAATTTTAGATTCAACAAAACAAGAATCTTATCAAGTTCAATTTAATATTAAGAATGGTACTATTGCACCATGTAAACATGAAATTATTGAATTAACATGCGAATATTTCTTACCTGGAATTCAAACATTTTCAGTTCAAATTCAAGATTTAAAAACTAAAATAATTCACAAATGTTTAATCAAATGTAGAGTTATAGTTGATTCACCTATTCATATTGAAAATATTAATCAAGATCGAATTTTAAATTTTGGATTTTGTTATATTCATCCTTTATCATCTTTATCAACAACAACTACAACATCTAATTTATCAGAATTATCACCAACATCAACAACAACAACATCAACAACAATATTGGATAATTTATCAAAAGTTTCAAATTTTAAAATTACAAATACAAAAGATTATTCATTGAATTTGAAATTAATTTCCAATTCTAAAAAACAAATTTTAATTTATTCAGATGAAAATTTACAAAATTTATTAACAGAAAAATCAATCATTAAAATAGAACCTCAACAAACTATTACTATTCATGTTGGATTAAAACCACATTTAAATTCTAATTTAGCAAAGAAGGGTAAATGTATTTCATTTTCAAGTAGTATTGTTTTAAATGTTTTAAATGAAGAAAAACAAATATTTTCTCAAGTCATTCAAATTAGAGCATTTGTTGGTAAAAGTATTTTAAATATTGATAATCAATTTATTGATTTTGGTTGGTCAAGTAATTTAAAAACATTTAATTCACAATTTACTTTATCAAATGGAAATCAATTCTTACCTTTAGAATATGAAATTATTTCATCTTCACCAAATGAATTATATTTAAATAATGATTCAGAGAGAGTTGGTAATTTAATTGGATGTAAAATTAATTCTTCCAATAATAATAATAATAGTAATAATAATACTCCTATTAATAGTCCTATTCCAACAAGTAATAATACTAATAACATATCATCTACTAATACATTATCTACTACTACTACAAATAATACATCATCTAATGAAGATGATGAAAATAACAAGAAGGTATTAAAATTTACATTCAATCCATTAACAAGTGGACTTCATGATCATTATTTTACAATTATAAACAAATCATCTTCATATAATAATAGTGAAGTGAGTAAAATAGCGATACGTGCATTTGTTGATGATCGTAAATCATTACGTAATAATTTACAAGCTGATAGTTCAGGAGTTGATGCTTTGGTATTTTCAAATGTTTATGTTATTAAAGAACAAGATGAAAATGATCAAATTGTAAAAATAACAGGAATTCCACATCAACATTTACAAAAATTAGCAAATCAACTTGTTGAAGAATATGATTATTTACAAGATTCAGATGAAGAATTAAGAAATGAAATTAGAAATTCAACAATATTAGGTGTACAAGAATTTCAATTATCAAACATTTCTAAAAATGATATGATTTTAATACCTAATAGTGATATTGATATGATTGTATTTGTTAAAAAACAAAAATCTAAACAATTATCATCTTTAAATTCAATTGAAAAATTAGAAAGAATTAAACAATTTAATTCATTTACACAATATCCAAATAAGGGTAAACCATTCATTTTACCTGCAGGTGAACAATTAACACTTGTAACAATGTTATCAGGTCTACCTTTAACAATGAATGATAATGAAACTGAAAATTTATTGAAAAAGAATTATGTTGAACTTCAAAGATCTTTAATTTTATCAGATGATGAACAACGAGCATTAAAATTAATTAATGTTCATATTCAAATGGGTATTTCTGAAGTTTCATTAAGATCAAATACAATTAATTTAGGTAAAATTGGTTATATTGATAAATGGTCTGATAGAAAATTTCAAATAGTTTTAAATAATGATCATTCAGATGTTTTATCAAAAGTTAAATTAATTTCAAAACCAAAAGGAATTGAATTTGTTTCAAATTATTCTTCAATGAGTCCAATCACACCAACATCATCTGGTGGTGGTGGTTCTACTACTTCAACAACAACTATGAATTTATTACAACACTTTGATCAATCATCACCAACATTATCTACTAATAGTCCTGGTAATAGTAGTAATAGTAGTAATAATAGTAATGAAATGAGTAGTAGAACAAAATGGACCATTCCACCTAAAGGACAAAAAACTATTATTTGTATTTTAAAAACAAGTGAATTTAAAGATTTTAATAATTTTTCTAATAATAATATTCTAATAATTTATTAGAAAATGATAATTTACTTTCACTTTCACTTCAATTTGAAAATATTAATAATCCTAATAATATATTAAATGTAACAATAATGGCAAATATAACACAATGTGTTTGGGATTTTACAGGATTAACAAATACAACAACAATTAGAATGCCACCACTTCAATATCCAGAAATTATGAAATCACCAACATTATTTTCATCTATAAGTGATTTAACACTTTCTATTGGTAATAATAGTTCTTTTAAAATTGATTCAAAATTTAAAGTAATTTTTGATAATCCAAGAATTTGTCAATTTTTAAAAATAGATTTATTAGATTTTTCAACAAGTATGCCAATTAAAGAATATAAATTTGAAAAGAAATCAACATTATATATTAGAATTAGATGTAGAGCTAAACAAAATTCAACAATACCACAAGAATTATATTCACAAATTAATTCACCAAATCAAGATTTAAATGATTTAAAATTAATTCATTTTGGTAAATTTATATTTGAATCTTCAAATCAACCAAAAGAAGTATTTGATATATTTGGAAGTATTGTACAATATCCTTCATTTTCACTTTCATTAGAAAAATTAGATTTTAAATTACCAAATAATTATTTTGAATCAACAAGAACATTATCAGAATCATTTACAATTAAAAATGTAAAGAAATATGAAGCTTTATATTTTAAAATTAAGAAACAATTCTTTACATTTTCAACTAATAATTTTCAAGATGTAAATGATTCAACTATTAATTTAGATGGTATTAATATTACTATATTTCCTGAAAAGGGTTTATTAGAACCTGCTTTATCAACTGTTATTAGCGTTTTTATTGATTATTCATCTATACAAGATAGAGAACAAGTATTGGAAAAACTTTCATTATTGAGAAAATATTGTCAATTATCTGTTATTGATGATAATGCTCCATTAACTACTCAATCTATACATTTAAATGTTAAAGCAGTTGATTATTTTAAATCTTTAACTATTGATAGTAATATTAATATTAATAATAATAATATTAGTAATAATACTTTGAATAGTGGAAGTACAAGTGTTGATATATTGACAACACCAACACCAACATTATCAAATTTGGAATCAAGTACACCAACTCCTCTAAATAGTAGTAATAGTCCTGGAGGTAGTGCTGCTAATATAACCAATACCAATACATCTACTACTACTACTAATACAAATACAAATAATACAAATAATACAACAAATAATTCAAGTATATTAATATTAAAAGGATGTAGACAAATAGATAAAAAGAATAGATATGAAATTGAATTGAGACATCGTAGAACATTATCAAGTAAAATAGTTGAAAGTAAAATAACATTAGAAAATCCAACACCACAAGATGTTAAATATAGAATATTTTCTATATCAGGTAAAATTAATACACAATCATCACCATTTAAAATTAGTCATACAAGTGGTTTAATTGATCAATTTGATTCACATCAAATAACATTTACATTTAAAACTGATAGTATTGAAAGTTTTACTGATTATATTGTTATTGAAAATTTAAATAATCCATTGGATTTTAAAACTTTGAGAACAAGTTTGGAAATTTTAAGTGAAATTGAAGATCCTGAAAAATTATTTGATATTAGAGTTGATGGTAATGATGAATCTTTATTAATTAATGATAATTCATCTAATAATAATAATAATACATCTATTAATAATAATAATTCATCTAATAGTAATAATAGTAATAATAATGAAAATTATTTGAAAATGAATTTAGGAACAGCATTTATTGATACATTAATTAGACATCGTTTTATTGATATTGTAAATTTAACAAATGATACACCATTGGAATTCTTTTTTACATCTAATCATAATATTGAAACAACAGAATTACATTTTTCACTTTCATTAACATCATTAAAACCATTTTATAGTTTACGTGTTGAACCTAAATCTAAAACACGTGTCTATTTATTATATAAAGTATCATCATCATCATCATCATATAATGATAACAATAATAATAACAATAATGAATATAACAATAATAATGAATATAATAATAATAATAATAATAATAATGGAGATAATGAAATATTTCTAGATGAATTTGAAATATTTATTAAATGTAAATTACTTAAAGATTATCAAAGAATGATAAAAGTAACATCAACATGTGTTAAACCACAAATGTATTTAACAAAACAAGAAGTAACATTTATTGGAAATGATAATAATATAATGATGGATATAAATGGAAATACAATAGATAAATATCCAATTACATTAAAGAATTTATTTAAACAACCATTATTATATATTATTAGAGATGATTTTTGTAAATTATTTAAAATACAAGTAGATACAAATAATTATATTACAACAGATGAATTTAAAATATATACAATACCACCTGAATCAAGTCATACAATTGTAATTAAACCAATTTTATCAGAATTACTAAAAATAGAAACTAAATATATTGAAGAACATTTATTTATTTATAATTATGATAATATACGTGAAAAGAAATTATTAACAATTAAATTTTCAAAAGGATTATCAATTACACAATTTTATTCAACACCTGGTTCAAAATCATCACCTGTTTATAATGCATTAGAAGATTCAATTGTTTTTACACTTACTAAATTTAGAAAATATGGTGAATATTATTTATCATTAAAAAATTTAGATGAACAACAATCAAAAAATATTACCATTGATATTATTAATGATATTTTAAAACAAAAAGAATTTACATTTTTATATTATGATATTAGATTTTTAACAGATGAATTAGTATTTTGGGGTTTAAAAGGAAATGTTGTTGGTAAATTAATTTTTGATTTGGCAAATTTACTTTACATTTCTTTATTTAAATTTGGTTCTATTTTTTTATTTCCTTCTTTTAATAATAATAGTAATAATATTAATAATAATAATAATAATAGTAATAGTAATAATAGTAATAATAATAATAATACAAGTGATAAGAGACAACTTTTTAATAATAGATCAAATAATGACATGATTAAGAAATGGTTAGGACAATTATCATACTTCCTTTCTTATTTCCATGGTGAAGAAGCAATTGAATTGAGACAATTATTAGATCATTATTTAAAAAGATTTTTAAATTAATAAATTTGTCATAGCTACATTTCATTGCAAACATTTAAACTGTGACTCTGATTCATTAATATAGAACCTTGCTCGAAATTTATGGTGTTTTCCATTGGTCTTTTTTTTTCCATTCTATTGAAAATGTTTTATTAAAGTTGAAGGGAATTGTTCAAAGACATTTTTAAAAAATTGAAAAAAAAAATGTTGCAATTTCTTTCCACACTTTTAAAAGGTCATTCACCTTCATCAAAACAACAACAACAAGATGACACTGATGAACAACGCAACAATAAAAATTCATCAACAACAACAACAACAACAACAACAACAAATCAAACTTCTTACGGAATACAACCAGTTGATCATTTAGATAGTTTATACAAGGTTAGAAATTTAGCCTATCAACATGAACAATATATTCAACAATCATGGAATTCATTAATACAATTATCTTTATTTTTATTATTATTCTTTGTAATGATACATACAAATATATTTAAAATTTTTATTAGAAAGTATATATTATCATCATTAATATTATATTATTTAATAACATATACTATTTGTTTATTATTATTAATATATATTATTAAAAGAATTAATTATTTATTAAATAATCCAAAGAAGGTAAAACCTTTTTTTAAAACTTATTTTTCATCTAAATTTTACAAATTTTTATTTGAATTTTTAAAATCACCTTTAAAACAATGTAAAAGAATTTTTAAACATTTTAAAAATGTTTTATTAGGAAATAGACAAATTAATCATGAACAACACAATGTTGATTTAATTAATGAAATGAATCAATTTGATTATTTATCTAATAGACATGCTTTATTAGGATTAAAAAATAAGGAAGAAATTAATGATTATGATTACTTTTTATATCAAGAATATTTAAAACAAGAACAAGAACGTTCAAAACAAGAACAATTATTAAAAAAGGATAAAAATAATACTGTTAATTATGATTTAATATTTAGTATGGATGAATCTAATAATATGAATATGAATACTAATATGAATATTAATAATATGAATATTAATAATATGAATATGAATACTAATATGATGGGTGGTGTTTATAATAATAACATGATGATGATGAATAATATGATGTATGATCCATCATCTATATCTACATCTTCCTATTTATATAATTCATCATTACAAGAACAACAACAAGAACAACAATCACTTCAATTACAACCAACACAAGTTGCACTTCAATTTAATATAAATCCAAGTATTGGATTATCTGTTTTTGATTCAAATTCAGGTAAATTAGAATATAGAAGAGCACCTTCTAATCAAATTAATGAAGATTTTATTTTAAATCATGAACAATTAAATCAACAATTAAATCAACAATATTCTGGTAATGCATTATTATTAGGTGAACAAGCATCACAAGCATTAGAAATGTTAAATTTAACAACATTTACAGTTAATAATTGGTCTGAAAATATGAGAAAATGGATGATTTATGGAGTTTTAATTCCAACAATTAAAGAAATTGATTCAATTAATTTACAAATGCACAAGACAATTCAATTTAATTGTGATTTTAAAGGTTATGATTCATTTAATCCACTTGATATTTCACCTGAATATCAACATTCAATTCCAAATTCAATTCCACACACTGAAGATACTTCAAAATTTACATTGAAATATGTTTTAGCAACATTGGTAACACAAATTGATCAACAACAACAATCAAATAATTTGAATGGAGGTATTGGTGGTGTTGGTGGTGGTTTTAATTCTGGTTTTGGATTTTCAAATGGTTTTAATCAATCACAACCACAAACAAATCAACAAAAAAATGTTGAATTTGGAAATTTATTAAGAAGAAGATTAAGATTGGAACGTTATTTATCAATTCCAAATTTAAATTTATTTGATTCAACAGATAAAATTGCATGTAGAAAATATGTTATTGATAGAATACGTTCAATGTCAAAAGGTCAATTTGAAAAACCAAATTCACGTCCAATGTTAAATAATTCAGAACAATTTTTATATGAACAAGAAATTTATCCAACAGATGAAGAAATTATTGTTAATTTATTTTGTAAATTTATGGATTTTACTTTGGATTCACATGGACATTCAAGTCAATTTTCAAACAAGTATTATTGTGATCAAAATATTGAAAAGAAGGAAAATCCACACAATTTATTTAGAAATAGAAATATGTTAGCACCAGGTGTTGCAAATGCAATGAAAAAGAAGAGAGGTTTAGATAAACAAGTACCTGTAAAGAAGGGATTGTATTTATGTAAATCAAAAGTTAGCATTTCACATTACAATGTTGAAGATGATGGTAATTTATATGAATGTCAACCTGGAAGAAATAACGTTTTTTATGCTTTGGTCATATTCTTACATTTAATTAATACCAAATATGATGGTTATATTGATACTGTTGCTTTATCTGATTTGAATTTATCACAAGTTATTGAATCTTATTAAAAACTATAAAAAACTTTAAAAAATTAATAATACCTAATTCAATATTTTATTAAATCCAATAATTCTGTTGAATGTTTTCTTGCAATAACATCCGTCATTAAATCTCTTTCCTTATCTGAAAATCTTTGAATGAAATTTCTTTTCAATATTCTTAATTGATTTAAAATACCAAGTTTTGAATAGAATGATTGTTTCTTTTGAAATATTTTGTAAAATGCACAAAGTCCTAAATATTGAATTTGTAATTTTTGCAAGTCACAAGTTGATTTTTCTTTTAAAATAATTTTCTTTCTACTCTGAATACAAATCCACATATATCCAATTATATCAGAAATGGTAGATGTGTAAAACTTGTTTGAATTTGATCTTTTCATTTTATATCTCATCATGGTATGAAATTTCATTGCAACAAATAAGAAGAGTTGATAAATATTTAAATAACAAGTAAATTTGCTATTAATTGTTCCATCAATTACAAGAGGTGTACATTTCCAACTAATAGTTCTATTATTATAAATTATTATTCAAATTACTATTAAAAATGATGATGAATTAATAAAAAAACTTACTGTTTCAATTTTCTACACATATGTAATCCAGGTGTTTTACAATCATGTGAACTTTATCTTGTAATGGACCATCTGTATATCTA